ACACTCATTAAGACACTCTGCAGAGCTAATGACCCACTACCCTTCTCTAAGGAAATCATCTCTTTAGCAGGTCCGAAAAAATGTTTTCAGTTGTGACAAAAGCTTGGAATTTAGTTGTATTTTTCCTTTGAGAGATTTTTACTACAGGGCACTCGTACTCCCCAAAGAGACAGATAAACTGAAAGCAAGGAATGACTCTTCACCACCACCCCGGAAGAATGGTCACGCCGCCATCCCTTCTCTTCCGTTCTCCTCTCAGGATCTTAGGCATCTATGCACATATGCCTGGCATGAGTTTCGTGCTGCTGGGTCTCGGACTTGAACTGCAACCGACCACGTGGGAGTCCAGCGCTTTCACCACTACGCCACCTCCTGGTCTCTGTAGACTTCTTTTTAACATCATTATATTTGTTACTGAGTTTTTGCCCATTACGAATTATATTCTACCCACCCTAGAAGGCAGAAATAAGTTACTATTGGTTATATCTGTTGATACTTTAAAAAATTTTTTCATTTTTTCTATTATTATTTTTAGTATTTCCAGAGAGAGAGAAAGGGAAAGTGAGAAAGCAGGTCTCCAGGTCCAGGGCTCGAACCACGGTTGGCCATATGGGAGTCCAGCACCCTTAACCACCACACCACCTGCTAACCCATATTTCTGTTGATACCTTTTGTCTTAAACAGCAGTTTCTTTTTATAAGTATTTATTTCTTCCATGAGTGAGAGAGAAAAAGAGAGAAAGCACCCCCAACGGGATGCTGATATTGTGCTGATCCCCTGCCCTCAGCCAGCCCTGCATCAGGAGTGGGCACGGACCTCAGGAACTCAGGGAGGTCTCAGGACTTGAACTGGGAACCTTCCCATCTATACCAGAGTGTCTAACAGAACATTATTCTCTGCTGCTGTGCCTTTGTCTGCCTCTCGCCAGCTCAGTTTTCTTAGTGAATACGGACTAGTGGTGAAAGTCATTATAGCTGGGTGACCGAGTGTCCTGATGAGTACAATTCCACGTAGCAGCCCCCAATGGCTGTGTCTGGGTCTTCGATGATCAGTTAGAGCCCAGGAGTTTTCTCCTTCCTTATCTTGGGTCTTGGCCACACTTAACAACAGACAAGACTTGAAATCGTTTTCAGGAATTGCTTCCATGACGGGCAGCCGTCAGCAGGTACCAGAAGAACGAAAGGGGAGAACACGGTTTGCACAAGAGAATGGCGGGGAGCTCTCACACTGTTCTGGTTAGCACACGCAGGGACTGGGTGGCCGCCGGAAGGATGTGCGTGGTTGGTCAGCTGTTTTCTATATGTCTGTCTGTCTGTCTACCTAACTCATCTATCACCCAAGCTATGTCACAGTTTAAACATTTATTTCAAGAAATGGTCTGAGTAGGAACAATCCTAGAATATTAGAAGGGATTTAAGAACTCACATTTGGGACCAGCAATTAGCGTAATGGCTATGTCGCTGGACTCCCACGTAGTTGACCGTGGTTCGCGTCCTGGACCTGGTGGTTTAAAACTCACGCCGGGTGTGTGTGCGTGCGTGCCCAAGATCCTGAGAGGAGAATGGAGGAGAAGGGATTGTGGCATGGCCATCCCCCCTGCGGGGTGATTTCTCGCTTTCTGTCTCTCTGTCTCTCTCTGTCTCTCTGGTGAGCACATGTGCCCTATAGGAGAAACCTCTCAAAAAAAAAAGAACTCACACTACGTGGGGTCCAGCAGATGGCATAAAGGTTATGTCACTAGACTCCCACATGGCTGACTGTGGTTCAAATCCTGGACCTGGTGGCTTGAAACGCACACTGTGCGTGCCCAAGATCCTGGAAAGAGGATGAAGGAGGAGGGATCGTGGAGTGGCCATGTCCCCTGGGGGGTGATTTCTCATTTTCCCTTTCACTGTCGCTCTCTCCCCATGACTGCACGCACCCTAAGGCAAAAACCTCTTACCAAAAAAAAAAAAAAAAAAGCCTCACCATCAGGCCATCTCCAAAGCCAAGCTGCATGGCCTGCTGCATGGCATGGTTCGAATCCTGGGCCCAGAGACTTGAGAAATATGCCATTTACATGTGCATGCATGCCTCAAATCCATGACCATGCCCCATGGGGGGTGCTTTCTCCTGCCTCTCTCTGGTGAGTGCATGCTCCCTCTAGCCAAAAGAAGTCACCCTGTCACAAAAAGTGACACACGGAAATGTAACAGCAAACGTGTGTGTGGCTGGGCGAAGACTTGAACCTATGCCTTCAGCTCCCACCCAGGGCTTTCGCCTACCTTCCTGTGCATCTCTCTGGACTTTCTCTGTTATCTTCGCCCCACTTCTGACGAGAAGAAAGAAATGCAACCCGAGGTGGGAGGGGTCTTTCCTTCTGACTCTGTCGTTTTTGACTACGACAAATGGGTGACTGAGGCCCAGTTCTGACCTTGCAAGAGAAGTGACTTGGGTCATCTATGGAGTCGCGGGAGTGATGAGGCATGTAGTTTGTGTGAAACGTTTGACATCCGTTAAGCAGTGATTACTTTGTTTTGTTTCAATGGGGCTTTTCCTCTCCATGGCGCCTCGGGAGGGTTTTGGGGGGATTTCTTTCTTGAATGTTGGTTGAAGTACCAGCGGATCTACATCGTTATTCACTCACACACAGAGCAGGGCTCCCCCACGCGTGATCCAGACAGGGGGAAGTGGGTGCTGAGGATTTCTAAAGAGCCGTGGGCGGGAGGCTGGGGCCTGGGTCTGAGCACGGCTCCACTGTGAGGTGGCCGAGTGCCCCGGGACACCCCACGCGCCCTCTCTGGAGTCAGTGTCCTCCTCTCGGAAGGGAAGGCATCGAACTTGCTGCTGACTGCAGCACTGAGGGAGTGAATGGGGCCATGGTCGAGCCCTGGCCTACTACCAGAGGGTCAGGAGGGATGCTTGTTGGAGAGAACGGAGAGCTTGCCTGGAACAGAGAGGGTCGTGTGTGCAGCCCGTCCCTTATGGAGCAAGCGGACCCAGATAACCAAGGTTCCCGCCGTGGCTTTTACACACAGGGCTCGCGTGACCTTGGGCCATCACACAACTTCTGTCTCATTTCCTCATTAAAAAAAAAAAAAAAAATTAGGCGAGCAGGAGGAGGGATGGCTAAGGTTCTGGACACTCACATGGCCAACTACAGTTTGAGCCTCAGAGCTGGGAACTTGAGAATCATGCCGTGTGTGTGTGTGTGTACGCGTGCGTGCACCCAAAACCCCGAGAAGAGAATGTAGGAGAAAGGATTGTGGCATGGCCATCCTCCCTGGGGGTGATTTCTCACTTTCCCTCTCTCTGTCTCTCTCATGGGAGTGCACACGTCCTATGGCAAAAATTAAAAATGATGATGATGGTGGTGATGATGATAATAAATAAAACTCTTAGAGGACGCTGCAAGATTGTAGCAGGTTTGAAAGGCAGGAGAGGCCAGGCAGGGCTGGGCCATCAAGAAGCCTGGCTGGAAGCTTCTGGAGGGGGCCGCCGGGAGGCGGGAGAGTCGCATCTGTCACGTGAAAGCCCGCAGGCTATTGAGGGTGTGTACCGAGGTTGGTGTTTCTCAATCAGGGACAGTTTTGCCACTCTCCCTACCCCCACGGAGTATCTGGCAAGGAATGGTGGCATTTCTGGTGGTCACAACTGAGAGAATTCTCCGGACACCTGGTGAACAGAGATTGGGGTACACTGGGCATCTGGTGGTACCCTCAAAATGCTCAGTGGTCAGAGAAGCTGTTTGGGTGTGGTTTAAGGATTTTCCAGTGCCTGGCTCCATGGGAGGTGCTTAACAGGTGTGGGTGGGAGTGACGTCACACGGAGGCAGGAGCTCCCTGCGGGATGGCGCCACCACGCAATCGGCACCCGTGGGTAAGGGGAAGGATGGCAGCTCTCGACAGGATGCCTGGACGTCGGCAATGCTGGTGACTGAGCCTGGCATTGGGCAAGAAGCCTGGGCCCAGGCCAGAGGCACTTGGAGGACCTAGGAGTTCTGAGAGGTCTGAGTTTGGAGACTTGGACCCAGAGATCACGGCCTCCAGGTCCTTCTTCGTGGTGGGAAGAGAGGCCGGGAGGCCTGTCACCGAGGGCATGGCTGAGTCTGCAGTCCTGGTCTCTTGCTGTCTCCTCCCACATTCCTGCCTCCCCCGCCCCGTCTAAGGAGGAGACCGAAGAGCTGGTGTTGACAGCCCTCTCTGGGTCTCGACCCAGGGCTAGCGAAGGCAGCTCGACGTGCCCTGTGGGCTAAAAGACTGGCTTGGCCTCACGAGACAGAGAACAAGTGGCATCCGTAATTGTCTTGTGAGATCCCGCCTGGCCCAGCGCGGGTGCCTCCTGGGGGAAGCCCTCCCTGCAGCCCCCTGCGAGCCCCTGTCAGCAGTGTGCGGCTGGCGCGCCGTGTCCCCAGCAGGGCAGGCTCACAGCCAAAGCCGTGGCCTCCCTCAGGCTCCCTCTTCTTACTCATCAACTTTGTCCCCTTTGCACACCCTGTGGCGCCTCACCCTGCAACACCTCTGGTGGGCAGAGACGTCAGAAGCTCACTGCTTGCCCCTGTCCTGCCTCCCCGGGCCTAGTCTTGTGTCAGGTGCATCTCCAACCCCTCGGTGCTCCTCACAGGGCCTTGTACTTGCCCAGTACCTTTTTGTTTATCATCATTATTATTATTTTTTAAAAGATTTTGTTGCATAGGGTGCAATTGCTGGAGGGAGAGACAGACAGAGGGAAAGTGGGAAATCACTCCCCTGGAGTTGGGGAAGAGGCTGGGATGGCCACGCTGCAAGCCCTTCTCTATTGTGCTCTCGGGATTTGGGGCATGCGTGCCCATGTGCCTGGGGTGTTTCTCCGGTCATCAGGTCTAGGACTCGATCCAGGGAGCCAGCCATCTGACTTCCAGTGCCTTACCCACCACGCCACCTGCTGGCCCACAGCCAGGGCTTTTGAATGTCTGTTGACTGAATGAGTGACACCCGAGTAACTGGATGCTCAGTAAAACGTGCCTGTCTCGACCCTGGCAGGTCAAGGACGTGGTGGGCTACAACTCCCTGGGCCACTGCTTCTTCACGGAGGACGGGCCCGAGGAACGCAACACCTTTGACCACTGTCTCGGCCTCCTCGTCAAGTCCGGGACCCTCCTGCCCTCTGACCGCGACAGCAAGATGTGCAAGATGATCACTGAGGACTCCTACCCCGGCTACGTCCCCAAGCCCAGGCAGGACTGCAAGTAAGTGCCTGCTCTGCCGTGCCCCCGTGTCAGGGCGGCACTCTGGGTCTGTGCCAAGCGTGTGAGTGCGAGCGTGTGACGTGACTCTGCTCAGCACCCGCCTCCCCTCTGCAGAGCGCTGCAGCCAGGGCCTCTCAGCCTTTGCCCGTCCGCTGCTCACCGCTTCCCGGAGAGGACGGGAGCCGTCTTCTCACTTCGCCCTCCCGGTCGCCTTCTACGCGTCCCCACAGACCAGTGTTTGCACCTGGCAGGGTCCTACAGGAGGAAGCAGGGCCACTTCAGCTCCCACATGGTGTAGGCTCCAACCACACTGACCTTTCTCTAGGCAAAGAGAGACACAGAGAGAGAGAGAGAGGCTCCTGTGTGGCTGGCTGTCCCAGGTTCTTTAGACTCGCTGGAGAGTCACCTCGGGCTTCACCCACAGCCTCGTGTCTCCCGGAGCAGCAATGCTTGTTCCATTTCTGAGGTTGTGCTTGCTTGCACGCACCGTGCTCCCGTGAGAAAACGGGGGTACAGACCAGCAGATCGCTGAGCTGTCAAATCTCTGACGAGAGGCCCCGCAGACGGGTGTGCGGCAGGGTGGGCACCGCCTGGCCCTCTCTGCAGCACCATTCAGTCTCTGTCCCCTCCCTGCAGCGCCGTGTCCACCTTCTGGATGGCCAATCCCAACAACAACCTGGTGAACTGCGCCGCTGCGGGCTCCGAGGTGAGCACACACAGCCTGCCTTTGGAAGAGTGCCGGCTGGAGCATGGGAGGCAGCCGAGGCTACCCGGGAACTCTGTCCTGAGCTCCTGGTCCAGACACCCACGCAGCCGGGCCTCGCTGAAGGGAAGAGGGAAAAGGAGTCAGGGGTGGGGGCGTCCTACAGACTTGGTTTTGAATGACGGTGGTGGCTTCCCGGTACTGGCGACCGCAGTGAGGAGGACTATGCTTACGATGTACGGTCGCTCCTTATGAACGAAGTGACTGGCGTAGCGCCGTGCCTGGCCTGTCGGCACTGTTGCCTGGCACGTCTGATTCTCGCGTGGACCACACAAAGGGGGAGCTTCTCTTATCCCCATCAGATGGGAGAGGAGACCAAGGCGGGGCGAGCTAGTGTGCCCGGGAACGCCCACAGCTAGGTGGTGGCCTTCTGGAGACCCTGACCCAGACCTGGCCAGGGCTCTCTCTGGGCCTCAACTCCCATTTCTGTAGAAAGGAGGGAAGAACAGACCTCTCATGAAATCCCCCATCCCGTGTCAGGAGGTTAACTCCTGCAGCGACTCTGAGCCCCAGCAGTTTAAGCCCATGCCTGATAGAGTAGGGCCCCGGGGAGGCTTTGAACCGTCAGGGTGGGACCCCCCAGTTATATCACCTTCATACTCCTCCATTTCCCTTCGAGAACTGGCATGGAGGCGTGTCTGGGGTGGACGGTGCGGGCGTCTGTGGGAACAGGACTGGACCCACCCCCAGTGCAGGCCACCCAGCGCCCTCGCCAGGCCTCGCCTGCTGAATGCTGTGGCCGTCCCCTTGTGTCCTCTCCGCCAGGAAACAGGATTCTGGTTCATCTTCCACCATGTACCGACGGGCCCCTCAGAGGGGATGTACTCCCCGGGTTATTCAGAGCACATTCCGCTGGGAAAATTCCACAACAACCGAGCACACTCCAACTACCGGGTAAGTCCTTCCCGACGGCACCTGCTGGGCCAGCCCAGCGGTCCTGCTTCCCAGGTGGCCAGAGGGCCAGAGCCCAGACGCCACTTGCCTGTGGCCAGGACCAATGGCATTCCTTGCTTGGTCTTGAAGAACATGGAGCAGCCCACTGAGGCCTCCTGGGCCACTAGCCGTTTTTCCTGAGTCTCTTATGGCAGTTCCTGCATGGGCACCAACATAGCATCTGACCAGAATCTCTGGGGGCAAAATGCACCTTCGCTCAGACCGAAGGGAGGCCGGTGTCCCCTGGCAGCTCCTGAGCTGAGTACCTGAACTGGGGGTGTCGGTGTAGTGTCAGCTAAGAATAGAGGCCCAGGACCAGCAGATGGCATACTGGTTGCATTGCTGGACTCCCACAGGGCTGTCTGCGGTTCGAGTCCCAGACCTGGTGGCTTGAAACTCAAGTGAGATGCATGCATGTGCATGCCCAAAATCCCAAGAGAAGAATGAAGGAGAAGGGACTGCCACATGGGCATCCCTCTCGGGGAGTGATTTCTCGCTTTCTGTCTCCTTCAGTCTCTGGTGAGCACATGTGCTCCCTATAGCAAAAATCTCTGAAAGCAAGTGAGCGAGCGAGAAAGAAAGAAAGAGAGAGAGAGAGAGAGAGAGAGAAAGAAAGAAAGAAAGAAAAAGAAAGAAAAAGAAAGAAAGGAAGGAAGAAAGGAAGAAAGGAAGAAAGAAAAAGGGCGGGGTGGGGTGGGGAGAGACAGGCAGGCAGACCAGGCCAATGCATAGCCGATGGAAACTGGCGTGGCCCTGCAGGCCATGGGGCCAAGCCGTCTGCATCTTGGGAACAGGCCGTGCCACCTCTGCAGAGCTGAGTAGGCAGGCAGACACAGTAGGTCCTGCCACTTCACGCCCTCTTCAGCCTTTCCTCGGGGCCCTCCGTGTGGGAGCGGGGAGCGGGTCAGATGGCTGGTGTCTAGTCTGGCAGGGACAGGAATGGAGCTCAGAGCAAGGCTCAGGCCAGAGGACTGCTCTGGGCACAGAGGTGGCCTTAAGGATGCCAGGCAGCTCACAGACTCCCAGTCGCCAATGTTGGCGTTCTGTTCCTGCCCCTCGGGTGCAGGGAGGACACAGAGGAGATGCACACTGTCAGGGTCAGAAAAGGATCTAAGACCTTAGGCGGGAGAAGACCAGAGGAAGAGACCGAGTCCCAGAAAGACCTGTGCTTGTGCCTAGGAAGCGGAGTGGGGGCCGGGCAGTGAGAAGGAGTGTGCACTAGGGAATGAGGGGGTGTAGAGGGAGAGACCTCAGTGGTGTCACATCCTGGAAGCCAAGAGAAGAGATTCGCCAGGCAGTGGGAGGAGGTGTGGCCAGCAAGAACGAACCCTTGATGGGGAGAGCTCACGTAGGGCCTCAGTGTTTCCAAGGCCGTCGTGGACCTCGGGGAGCCGTCTCCCTGCAGGCAGGTGCAGAGGCCACATCGCTGGCGGGGCAGGGGTGAGAGTGGGGAGAACGAGTGGGCTGCACGTGAAGAAGCCTCGCTGCAAGCAGGGGTGGGCCACGTGGGACCTGGAGGGTCGGAGAGGCAGGAACGGGGCTGTGGAGGACAGTTGCTGGCGAGGAGGCAGGCAAGGACTGGGAGGGCACTGGTAGGGAGCCTCAAAGGTGGCAGGTCTCCTCCTCTGAGGCCAGGGCTTGGGGTTGGCAGGGGGACGCAGAGGGACCTACAGCTGGACTGACGGGGCCGCTTGAGAAAGGAGAAGGCCCTACCCTTGGTGTCCGGGCCAGTGAGCCTGAACTGCACACCCAGGAGCCTCCGTCCTCACAGCCCCCCTGCAAAACAGCTGTTAGGAGCCCACTTGGCAGAGGATGTGGCGGGAGCCCCCAGAGTCGTAGTTCGGGGGCCTGGAGCTGGGCGTCTCGCTCCACGTCACCTGGCTGCTATCGCCGCTGCGTATTACGAACCAGACGAAGAATACAGAGCCCTTCAGTCATCCAGAGGAAGGGGATCTGAGCTAGACCACTCTGTGGCCCCGGGAACCCCGGAAGTCAAGGAAGGCTGGATGCCAGCGCCCCGTGCAGCTCGCCCGGCTGCCTCAGTGCCACCTGCGGCGGCCCAGGGGCACGCCTCCTGGCCAGCCAGGAAATCCCGGTTCTCTCTTCAAGTCAGGCAGGAGCCATGATGAGACTAGGAAAGCTCACTGACCCCTGCCCGGGTTTAAGACGGGACTGGAGCTCAGCGTTTCAAATCACCACAGGCCAGTTTCCCAAAAATGCACCCCCGTCACCTTTGACTTAGGCCCGTGCTAGTAACTTCCCGTAGCGGTGTGGGTTGTGCGTGTGGGCTTAGCTGTGTGGCCGTGGACAGGGTCCTTAGCCACGCTAACCCCGTTTCCTCATCCATACCTCAAAGAGGACACCTAATTCCAGACTTGGTCTGAGCAGAGCAGTGGCAGGCTCTTCACCTCCCTGACTGTAGGCTGCTACTTCCATTAATGCAGCCTGAGAGCAGAGCTGGTCTGACTGGAGCACCCACGAGCGCGTGGTGGGGCTGGGTGTGAGGGGACACCTGTGGCCTCCTGTGGCCACCTGTGGCCTGCAGCAGGACACATGCCAATACGGCCCTGAATTTTCCCCTCCCCAGGCTGGCATGATCATCGACAACGGAGTCAAAACCACCGAGGCCTCTGCCAAGGACAAGCGGCCCTTCCTCTCCATCATCGCTGCCAGGTAACCGCCCCGGGGAGCGGCAGTCCGTGGTCACCTTTCGGCCCAGCTCCTCCCTCCTATTCCTTCATTCGCCCCGTCATTTATTCACCAAGTATCCGTTGAGCGCTGAGCCCGCTGCTGGGCTATGTGGCGACTATCCGTGCGAGGTGAAGTCTGAATTAGGATTCTGTCTCCTGGAGCCCAAGAGGGACAGGAATTCCTAAAGGTTTCTAGATCTCCCAGCAAAGCCAATACCTGGTCAATCCACAGGACGTGGCCAGGGCCAGGGCAGGTGGGGCCAGGATAAACAGGCGAAGAGGAAAGAAGGGGAGAGATTTGCAGGTGGTGTGGGAGCTTGTCAGGTCAGGGGACACTTTCCAAGGTGCTGTCAACACCTCACGGTAGTGACGGCTGGCACCTTAGGCAGAGGTTTAGTGCTGTGTGGGGGAAGCTGCATCCCCACATGGCCGACGGCAGTTCAAATCCTGGCCCAGCTGCAATACTGAAGTTGAGCAGTGTGCCCCAGGCTCCAGCCCAAACGGAGGAGAAGGATGGAGGTGTGATCAAGCCGGATAGGGGGTGCTTTTTCACCGTCTGACCTATACATGTGCCCTCTGGCATCAAAATCTTTTTAAATATATATTTGAGGGTTTGTATTTTTTTTTTTTTTTAGATTTTGCCATAGGGCACTTATGCTTGCCAGACAGAGGGGAAGAAAGAAATCACCCCCTAAGGGGAATGGCTTTGCCACAGTCCCTTCTCCTTTCAGGATCTTGGGCACGTGTGAGCACACACCGGCCAGTGTGATTCTCAAGCTGCTGGGGCCAGGATTTGAACCATGGAGCCAGCCATGTGGGATCCAGTCCCTTAAACTCCACGTCGCCTGCTGGCCTCAAAGTCAATGTTCATTTAAAAACAAAAACAAAAACAAAACCTCACGTCAGGGAGCAAAACCAGTACCCTTAAAAGAGACCAAGCTGCCTGGTCTCCGTCAGAAGTGGTGTGAGGACATGAAAGTGACCACAGGACAGCCTAGCCGGGGTGGCTGTCGGAAAGTGCCAGGCTCTGGGTTCCGTGTGCTGCCAAGTGCCCAGGACAGTTCTGGTTCAAAGCTCCCAGCAGGCAGCGGAATAGCTGATTACCCCTGGAGTCTCCTTCCAAGTCTCTAAGGCTGCCCTGCGTGCCCGGTTCGGGTCTGGCCGGCTGAGCATTGCTCTGCGCTTGCCCCGCTGCCAGGGGCCCCTGAGTGGTGCTGACGAACAAGAAGAGGGTCGTGTGTCCAGGGCCCTGAGCTCAGAAAGTGCACCCCAGAGCCCAGGCGATGCTAACGGGTGCCTGTTTAGAAGCCTTCTGAGGCACTGCGGATAGTGAGCAGCTCACGGGGCGCAGAGGCGCACGCCCAGACCCCCGACCGCACCTGTGCCCTCCCACGGCGTGTTCCAGGTACAGCCCGCACCAGGACGCCGACCCGCTGAAGCCCCGGGAGCCGGCCATCATCAGGCACTTCACCGCCTACAAGAACCAAGA